TATTACTTGAGGGAAGCCATTGGCAAGGACAGCAGCACAAGCTATGGAGGGTGTGAGAAAAAGGGAGGTATCAAAAAGATCCATGATTAAATAAAAAGAATAAGGGATAGAATAAATGTTGTTTCCCCATATTAAACTTTTATAGATGAAGAACAGCCTTAAGAAACTGTTTAGACATGTCATGTGACATAGTTACCATAAAAACATAAATCTTCACGTATCATTAAAGTGATTGTTTCCATTGTATTGTATTGTGCTTGCGCATTGTATGAGATTTGCTTCACACCAATATTCATGAAAGTTCTTGGACATAGCCACTTTCAAGCAAATGTTGAGAGATACTTTCAATCGTCAGTTTTTGAATTAATAAGATACTTGATCTAGAAAAATTCCTAAAATTCTTAAAATTTCTTTGGAAATGCATATATACACTCAGGAGGTTCTGTGGTGATGACTGTAGTGAGATTGTTCTCCAGAGAACAGGTTACCCAATGATGTAACCCACTTAACCTTACAAAAAATTGTATACCACATTATTTGAAAAATATAAACAAAATAATTTTGAATAGTAAATGAAGACTGCAGTGTGACCATGGGGAGCCTGAGTATATAAAAAAGAGTTAACATTATTGTAAGGGGTTGTTTGACAAGTTTAATCATTTGCCATTTTTTTTTCATTTTTGTCTCTCTTTCACTTGAAAGTCATGAACAGCAACTTAAGGTACATGTAGGTACTCAGAAATCACATGGCTTAAATTTATTTTATGGTTGCTTAAATTTTCTTAATGAAAACTGAAGTCATGCAGAAGCTACATAACATGGTTTGTATCCTACTGTTCCATTAAATTTGGACAAATTCATAATGATTATGCAGAGCTGTGAGAGAGAATTCTTCCCTTTCTATAGATGTTACTTGGAACATGAAAATACAGATTTCTCTTATACATTTGGAGTTAAGTTGGTGAGCAGCAGCAGCACTTGCTCAAAGCTGGTTTCCAATGGATTTGTGTGGTAAATTTGAGCTCATATATAGTATCCATGAATGAAAATGAGTTATGAGTCTCATTTTAACTTTTTCTTCACTAACTTTCTGGAAATTTAATAAATGTAAGATATGGATAGCCCATCCACCATAGATGGTAAAAAATCAGCAGTGTGTTCAGAAGCTATTAAAGGAACTAACAAATAGATACTTATATCGTATAATCTTTTTGTTTGTTTGTTTGTTTTCTTATTTTTTCTCTTTTTTATTTTTATTTTATTTATTTTTTTTTCCCCAACATTGAGACAACAGCCACCAAACAAGATATACTTCAGAAGAATTCCCTTGCTAGGTTTCTTCCTTTTATCTGCAACAAAATCATGTCCTTCAAACTTCAGCGACCACTCCTAAAAATCAACCATGATGTTCTTAAGCACACTTAGTAAAAGTGTAGCAGCTACGGCAATGCCAATGTTATTTTCAAGAAAGTTGGAAATACACTTGATGCTATTTACTTCAGAGAGAATAGAAGGAAGCCAGAGCAGAACACCAAAGAAGATTGCTAGGCTGGCTACTGACAGTATGACTAATTCAGCTCTGACTGAACAGTACTATACTGCTTATATGTTGTGTTATGCCTTTTGCATATTTCCTTTATCAGCACTAAATGTGTAATTTTAATTTAAAGAGACTTATGTTAATAGTTTTGTCTTGTTAGCAAAGAAGGAAGGGAAGTACAGGTCTGCCATTTTGGTATGATAATTCATTATTCACCATTGGGATTGTAATGTGGTGCCCCCTAAGATCTTCCTGAGTGCAAAGAATGTTTTGGCCCCACTCACGTTGACCAAGCTGACAAAAAATTCTTAAAAAAATATGTGATGGATTACTGATACTATGTATATGCCATTCAGCTATTTGGCTGGAAAGAGAACTCTTTGGCTCATGAGGAAAGATTTTACTATCTGAAGTCTCTTTTCCTCTCCCCTTCTCTTTGCACGATATTACGCCAATTCGGCCTAAGGTCATGGAACAGGAGAAGAAAAGGGACTCCATTTGCAGCGTGCAGAAAACTGTGTATCTGTGAGAAGAGGGTGTTTTAACAGCCTAGCTGGCACTTGGTAACATGCAGTTAGTTCCCTACCTGTAAATCTCTATTTTAAAATGTCCCAACTATAACACTGCATAGCTTTAGAGAACATCAGATGCCAGGCAGTTTGATTTTACCTTTCTTGACTCCACGGGAATCTGCAAGAAGCATCTGTTCAGTATGCTGCTCTCTTGAGCTTTTTGGTGAACAGCCCCCACCTGCTCTCAGGAGAGACTGTGATGTCTCCTCAGCACCATTTTTTGTTTCTTTCTGGACCATGAGAAATTCTGCTTCTGAGCATCTCAGCTGAGTCAGAGCTCCACTGAGATTTATGGCTTAGTATGGACATAGAAAGAATGGAAAAAAAAAGGGGGATATTATGCTCTGCTGCACTGTTGTTTTCAGACTAGCCAGATCACTCCTGGAAACTAGGACAAGTCAGGCTAGGCATTAATACAGCTCAGAGCTGTATCACATCTTTATGGAGCTACTAGATGTGCTGCTGAGCAGCTGCAAGGGGAGCCAGATCAAAGGCAATGAACATTTGCATGCTGCAGAGAGGATGGAAAACCATGCTCCACAGAGAGGCAGCTGTCCATGCTAAAGAGGATTCCAGTTTTGAGGAAACTTTCTTTGAATTGCTTAAGTCCTAATGTTGTTGTTCCAAAGCTTTAGAGGATGTCTAGCGTGGCTTTAAATGTGAAAGCCCTTATCTGAGGTGCTCTGAAGGAGAAGGAAGTGAAGTATCCAATTCTTTTGCCTGAGAAATTTTTCAGTGCTCACTCATGACAGCAAAAGATTATGGAACTAGCTGCTTACTCTGGCATCAAACAGGAACTTTATTGATGTAAAGAGAATAGAGTTTTCCACAATTTTTCTTTTTATCTGAAAGCATGTAAAGTGCATGACTGCAAGCTCTACAATAAAAACACTTAACATGCACTCTAAAATAAGAATCCAGGCCTACAGTAGTTACTTATGTTTGAAGAAAGATATAACACAACATGAGTCATATCGAAGGATGGCCAAGGTTGTCACTAAGTGAACTGAGTATATTTCTTTTGGTAAGTATATGTTTAAATAGCTGGTCATATGCGGCAACCTATTTCTCAAGGTAATATTCTCAAGGAAATAAATTATTGGGAAATAGTTCTAATATACTACAAGCTGCATTCTTATTGGTGGTCAAATCTGGGGTGTAACTCTCTATTCAACATTCAGATTAAAAGCCATCCTTTTGCCATTGCATCTTGTACAGCATGGGGCAGGGTAGATGATTACCCAGGGAGTGGAAAGACAGCAGTTAGGAAATAACACTGAGGATGGTAAAAACACAGTTTTGGCACTTGGTGAAAATAGAATTACCCTGGTTAATTTTATGGCATCTTCTATACTGAATTGTAAGGAATAATAAAAATACTGCCACAAGGCCAATTCCTGTTGTAATTACTTAACAGTCTGTCATCTCAGGAGTTACGCTTCTTTCCATTGTATCAGGTCTTTTTTTTTTTTTTTTTTTTTTTTTTTTTTTAAAGCAGTTACACAATGAATATTCTGATGCCTGGTGAACTCTGTGCCTGGTCTATCTTTCTGGCATTCAAAGCATAAGAAATTATAAGTGCTTCTGGTAAACTAATGAAATTAGTGCTGGTGCTTGACATCTTTATTGTTTTTAACTTATCACTTCACAAATCATTTTACAGAAGAGTGCAAACAACAAAAATAGCGTATTCATTTACTAAAATATCCTGATATGTACCGTAGATACTGAATTTTACAGATAAAATGAGCCAAGCTGTGGCTGTATATTCACTTAACGTTTGTTAAGGCAGAGTAAAACCAACAGTTTACTCAACCTATCAACCACAATGACAAAACTGGATTATGCCTAATAAGAGTAATTCATATATATATATATATATATATATATACATATATATTTTGCCCTTGCCAAAATTGACATGATTTGAAAAAAACTTTTGGTCTTTAAAGTGCAATCACATGCACTAGGAAAAATCACTCACTAATATGTAGATGACTAGAAATACATTTTCTTCATTCCTACTGCATGCATTTCTTCATTTAACATGTGGAATTAACATCTCTTATGTTGTTGACAACAAAACAATGCTGTAAGAGAATTATTTTTATTATTATTTTTTTTAAAGAGAGAGAATATATCCCAGACTTAGATTTCCTTCCTGTTATTTTCCTAAATGCTTCTCCCCCCTCCTTTTTAGAAATGTACAATGAGCCTTTTAAAAAGTGGAGTTGCTTTCAGAATTGCTATCGTCATCCAGATCAATTTGGAACAAAGTCCGGCCTCCCGATCTATTTTAATTTCAATGTACACACTCTGCTGGCTGGCTGCCAGCATGGAGCTCAGGAAATGATAAATACCCATTTAGTCACAGACGCACAGACTTCCCTGGTATGGTAGGTTGGGGCTGCTTTAATATCCCCAAACTTACTGCAAATTTACACATTCATTAACGTCACTCGGAGTGATATTTATATGCTGGGGGTGGGGGGGTGGGGGGGCAGGGAAGGACATAACTTACACATGCTCTTCAGGAGGACTGAAGCTCTGAGTCTTGTTTGCCTGCCCTGAGATGATAGCCTTCCACATCAACTAACTGTACATAACATGAATAGAAAATTAGGTTGGACTAATCTAATTTGAAAGAAGCTGCCCACAGCCAGATACTGTGAATCTCAAACAAACTTCTTAGGAACTGGTTATGGTAAATATTTGACATGCTCATTAAATATTGAATGCAATTCTCTATAAAGTACAGCACAATATGCAAGGAAAATAACCTGTATGTATTGACTTGTTTGCTTTATTATTATTATTATTATTATTATTATTATTATTATTATTATTATTATTATTATTATTATTATTATTATTATTATTATTATTTCTTCCTGAGTTGCTGGGGAGATTTTGTTTTTCTGTGTTCATCTGGGATATTTCCAGAAAAGGGATGAGACCGGAAGATTTTTGTATATAGTTAAATATCATACCTTCTCTCCAATTATTTGAGAACTGGATGTTTTGCAGAAGCTGAATCTGAAGTTAGGGTAAATACTTTCCAATATGGTTTGATTTTTTGGTTGCTTTTCTTGCTGGCATGTTACATAATTTAGTGCTATTAAAAACATCAGATTATTACCTTGTATAAAAGTTAGTAGCATGCAATGCAAGCAACCCCAACAACTAATACAAGGTTAATGAAGAATAATAAAAAAATAAATCCATTTATGTTAATAAGTAATTGAAAGACCAATTATTTAGTTAAAAAGTAATTATGGATGTTTAACTAATTATGTAGGCAAGAAAGGTCCCCATAATTAACTTATAGTATTGTAAAATATCTGATCTACAGCGACCCATGTTAAAAACACATTCTTGTTTTCATCAGCACTAAGCACAAACATATGTTTTGTATATAGGGATGATGTATGGGCTGGCTTCTTTGGGGTCCTGCTTCTTATTGGTTTACTAAACAAGGGACTGCTGTGACTCTTGTAACAGTTTCTGAGTCCTCTGGTCCCATATTAATGCAGGTGTTAACAGACTGTTATGTGGTCATCCATTATACAGGGATTAATGAAGTTTTGCTCCTTTTCCCCTGTCTAGCACAGTCCTCTTCCACATGCCTGTTGTGGCATCCATATAGAACCTCTTTACAATACTTGCCCTAGAGAGAAAGAATTTCTTGAGGGAAAGCTGAGTGGTATTTCTACACCATTTACATTTGAGGATTGTCTCATCAATAGCTGAGTGAGCCAGAAAAAAGGGGAGGGGAGGGAGGTCTTTGTCTCTGATGCTATATGAAGTTTCTGTCAGTGAGATTCCTCACTGCTGTCTACACACATGGGTACAAAAATTAAAAACCAAAACTAAACAGCAACAACAAAACCACCAAGCACACTATCTATATGAAGCATACACGTATCTCTGCCTTTATTTTTGTCAAGATTTCACATGGCTGCTGTCTTTTTAAAGGTACTGTGCAAGAAATGCTTTAGGCCGCAGCCTCCCTCAGCCACCACCATTTTAACCAAGCTAGGAAAGCAATGATCACATTGCCTTGCAACACTCTGAGTTTGGGCTATGTGGTGTACTTCCCTGGCAAGAGGGAGCAAATGTGCTGAATGGTGGTATCTCCATTGTCTCACAGTTAGTTACAAGGTCATGATTAAAAGAGACACAGGATCAGACAGGGTTCACAACTTGCTCTGACTCAGTGCTGACTGCATTAAGAAATCTGTGGTGGGATCATTTCACTTGGAGGTCTATGCTGCAATGTTTGCAGGTGAGCTGGTTACTCTCAGTTTTCTTTATTTTCATTGGGAGAAACGACATTTCTAGAACACAATTTACAGGGTTTGCTTTAGACAATATGGCCTGAATCAGCTTAAAAGTGCCTTAATCTATTGAGGAGAGACCAGGAGGATTTGTTTAGACAGATGCTTCTACATTATAGACATGTAAAGTCAGTGACATGAAATGTCACAATTAAAATGTTTAACTAGATGTTTATACTAGATAGTAGAGAAATTTTATTTTCAAAAATCTTAATAAGACATTGCTAAAATGGAGTTGCTTTTCACAGAGTATTTACTAACATTATGACTCTGATCGTGATGTGGCAGAAAAGCAATTTAGCTTAGAAATAAGTTCCTAAAGTTTTAACCAATGAATACAGGCTTTATAAGCATTTGGAAATTAAATTACTTGAGAATACAGTCAAAATTTTTAGAGAGACCAAAAGTAAAGAAGGAATCCCTGGTAAGTGTTCTTTTTCATGTTTTTCATGTTTCTGTTGAGCCGAGAAAATAATACAAAACAAACAAACAAACAAAAACCACCAACAACAAACAACAGCAACAAAAAACTTTAGAATTGCTCCGGATATGACTTTGTTAGAAAACTGACTTAATAATTAGTATTAATGAGTGCTAAATTTACATCTCACTTTCTTCTGCATAAAATATCCTTTTAGTATTTCATACACTGATATAGAAGAAAGAATCTAATTAGAAACAGGTGTTAAATTAGGCCATCCTTATCTCTAGCTCCATCTTATTCTTAAGATCTAAAAGCATTAACTAGTTTCAAGTGTCCAAATTCACCTGCCAAACGTGAAAAAAGTTTCATATATAATTTTTTAACTTTTCTGCAAATCAAAAAGTATGGATGGACCTAAGCCTTCTCTGGAGAGGGCTGAGTAGCTATGTGACCACAGCCATGTCACTGGACATGAGATGTTATGCTTGTCAAATCTGATAACAACACGTGGGGGTTACTGCAGCTTGGACTTTAGCTTGTGCCTAAACATTTTGTGTGTGAATAATTGCTAATTGAGATGCACTGTAAAAATTAACTTGCAATCATAATGACAGGAAAAAATGTGCATATGCTTTGTGGAGTAGCTGTATTTCATAATAAATTAATATTGAAAATGTTTCACTAAGCTATATTTTCTCATTCCAACACATGCCAATTTTTTTGTCTTCTTATAATAGATAATCACAAGGGCACAGTGTATTGACAAACATTACCATTAGAGAATGAGAGATGAAAGAAAAGTTCTTCTTATCTCAGTGAAAGGAAATGTGTTTTGGAAATGGAGTAGCTGAGATGCAATAAATTAAGTTTAGCACTCACTTGTATCTATACAGGGATGTTTGTGCTTTCCTAGTATTGGTCTGTGAGTCATTGCACTCTTTATCTAGTAATATGGTTAAATTCCAGGGTTATCTTGGATTTTTTTTTTCTTCCTCTTCAATGGAGACATGAAGATTTCCTTGAATGCAATATTCTACAAGGTCAGCAATATGTTGTTTTCTTTCAGTGATCACGGAAGGAAAACATTCCTGGCCTTTAAAAATATGTATTGTCTATTGCTGTATCTGCAAAAGAAGCATAATGAAATCTGTGTGAATTAGAAAAGTTGTTTGTTTTGTATCAAAGCTATTTAAAACAAAAGGTGAGTTAATAATAACTTTTTTTTTTCTTTTCAAAATGTACAGAAGTGCCTGTGAAATAGAAAACACTGTTCAATACTGGTACTTACAGGAAGATGACTTCAATTTATACTTCGGTCACCAGTAGAGGTAACATATATAAAGATTATCTGTCTTAATGACTTTTAGTATGCATCTCTATCATAGTATGCATAAAAATACACTATGTTTTTCCGCCCCCTCTTTATTCTGCTGAGAGAGCCTGGTAAAATTCTGGCTAAGTTGTACAAACAAATATAATTCAGTAATGCTAATTCTAATTTAAAACGTGGCTGGCAGTTCATCTGCTTACTGAATGTCAGGATAAGTTTTCCATGAACATTTCATTTGCTGAGGTTAAATTCCAAATATGCTTGCAGAAGGTGAACTGTAGGCTTGTATACTAATGTGCATATAGGTTGTTTGCTTAAATGTTATACACATCTGGTGTTTTGGTGATGTGAACAAAACTCTGCTAACACTCAGTACCAATAATAAATAACTTTTCAGAAGTATCTGGCTGTTTCCCAGGTATAAATTACAGAAACAAAGTCTAACATTTTCCCCAATTGTTTTTGAGTTTGTAATTAATTCCATATGAGAAGAACAGCTTGGTGGATTGGAGTGAATAAAGTGGTAATAAAAATAACTCTAATTTCCCGGCCAGTCACTGCTTTCATTCCTTTGTGCACCAGTGGTCATTCCAGAGGTCTTTGCCAGATCTGCAGCCATGTCCCCTGGGGCTTTGGTCTTGACGTGTCTTTCAAATAAGCAGGACAGAAGATGTGAACAAGCTAACCAGTTACACAGAATGAAGTAAAGCTTCAGAAGGAGACCACAAAAAACTTGTTATTCTTCTTGCACCTTGGTATCTTGTTTTAACTATGTACCATGGAATAAGACATAGATATGTGTGTTTCAAGTGAGGTAGAGCTTAATTCCCATCCTTACTTATTTTGGGAATGTTTCTGACTAAACTGTGAGCTTGATTAAAATGTTAATTCTGCTGTATCTCCTGTTAAAGTTATCTTAAACATTCCCATTGCCTCAATGAAGTTGAAATCAAGCTTATAGATTGGCACCTCAAAGAAAAATGTGGGCACTACAAGAAAATGATGTGGGTGAATCAGTAGGTGTCAGATCGCTGAGTCCATAATGAATAATTACCTCAGCATAATTATGTGTGCTGTTTTTCATACAAGATGTAAAACTGAGGTCCTTTTGTCTCTTAGTAATTAAAAACACATCTCTCATGCAATTTCACATTACAAAAGAGTCTCTCTGTTAGAGAACATGGTCTGCTAGTGGTATCCAAGGTTGGATAAGGAACTATTATACTGATAATTAGCATTGGCTGCCCTGTATAATTTTTAGTTCCAGCAGCTCAGATACTCATTTTTGCATTTTAATTTCAGCTTATGCACATATTTTGTAGAAGTAGCTCATATGTTTTACTTTCTTTGACTCTCTTTGTAGTTACGTTTATATGAATAGGTTAGTTTTGACACTCCTCCTAGGTCAGCATTGATATAGCCTTGGGTTCAAAAATGCTGGATTTCAAAAGCAACTGGATGCACACATGGGATAAAAATACCTAAAGAAATGTTAAACACAAAAACATAACTTTTGGTTCAGGATATCTCTGAGTTACAAACTGATAAAAATTGGAAGAATATTCTTGAGACATATCCTCGATTGCTTGCTGTTCTTAAACTCTTTCCTCAAAATCTGCTGTTGACAATTGTCAAGACAAGATCTGGAGCTATACACATTTTTGGTTTTATCCACAATGGACATACATAGGTTCCTATGTAAGATAACAGCTGAAAATAAATGTCCCATCGTCAGGATATCATAACAAATCAAAGAAATAAACTTGGTTTTCAAAAAATTCTGAAAGTTCAAGTAGGTTATATTCTCTTGAAGAAATGTTATAGGGGAAATATTTTTTTTTTCCATTGAAACATTTCTGTTCTGTTATGTTTTTATGTTATGGGCATCTCTTATCAAGATGGCTTGTACTTTCTGCAAGTTTCGGCTTTTTTTTTTGAAATGACTCTTTTGCCTGCCCTTGGAGCTATTATGGTTAATTAGATGTAGGATACTAATTTCTCATGTACCATCCAAATTCTTCAGAATATCCTCTTGGATATGTTAGGTGCCAATACAATTATTTTGAGTGGAAGATCCATGAGAGAGGTGAGATAAAGCTATTAGCACTTTTGTGTGCCTATCCCACAGATAATAGTTAAAAGATACTTTTTTGAAGAACAGCTAGTTTGTTGAAATAAATTTGTGTTTCTGACCTGTGGCCTAGAGCCAGATACAAGAGTTACCTCTGTACACAATGAAAAACAAGAAATTTGGGATTTTTCTAGAACTTTTTGTGTGATTATTGCATGACCACAACCAGTAATGGCTGATTTTGGCTTTATCCTTGATTTCCCATAACTACATCTGTATTGCCTCTAAGTGTGAAGATTTAAGATGAGTATATATTTTTCCTAGGTAAAACTGAAGGAGGAAAGATTAGAAGACATGAAACCTCTAAGTCTGATGCCAGTTGCAGAATAGGAACTCTGAGATGAAATCTATCTGATCTCTTTATTTCTTCATACCTGAGACAAGAATGAAAAGGATAAGGTCCCTTTCATTAACCAATGTGTGGGAAGAAAAAGAAGACAGGAAATAAAGGGTGAAAAAGATGACGTTGCTTGGCCATCATAATGGCAATTATGAGACGAGAAGAAAAACACTAATTACTCTGTGACCGATATCCCAGAGAAAGAATGGCCACATGCTTTAGTAATTCAGACATCAAAATCACTTATGAGACTCATAACATGTCATGTTTGCTTTGCAACACTAATCAATGAGGTGGCTTTAAACAAAAAAACAATGACTTCTCTGTGCCGAAGCTTGACTGATCAGTGGTGAATGCAATTTTGTGCTTATCAATAACTTAAAAATCATGGAGATAGACCTGCTTTTGATTATATGTTTTAATTAAGGAAAACTTGAGGCACTAGAACTTCCACAAAATATTTTGAACTCTTTGGAAAATGCCAGCATATATATATTTAGGTCCTCATCCCACTTTCTTGGTATAATACTGAATAATGAAATAAAAAATTATGACTTTATTATATTTCAATGCATCTCCTAGGCTGGTGGAAGCACAGAATCAAATCTTGTAGTCAGGTGAGGTCTGCAGTGAGCTACACCTGGGGCTCAGGTGTACCCTCTGCTGATTGAATTGCCAGACCTGAGCTTGCCACGAGACATTGTCAAAATAAAAAGACATGTCATGTACTCAGAGAGGTATGGAATAAGACAGGTCTCAAGCAGGAGGCAGAGGTGTTTTTTTTCTCTTGCACTTGCCAAGTGCATTTACACATGGAGTTCTTGGCCGCCACTTGTGTAGACTTCCCTCGGAAACATTTTCCATCTGTCATACTCACATGTGAAAGAAACCCTGGAGATTCCACCCCTATCCCTGAAATGGAGCCTCTCTTTGTCTTTACCGTTTTCAGCAAGCCCTTTATTAAAGAGGTAGGGAGGAGAAGAAAAAAATAGGCAGACAAGGTACTTTCTAGCATTTCATAATAGAAGCAGCAGCCAGCCAGATCACAAATGCCTGGGATGGCAAGGAGAAAGAGATTCTATTTCACTTTGACTCCATGTTTCATCCACCAGCAATCCTCCCTTTATCTGCAGCACTCTATGCTCCATCAGCTGTGCCATCCGGGCCTACTAAGAATTAAGAGTCTCCTTATCTGTGGAGGACAGTCAAACAAAGTACAGCCAGAAATTCTTGACACTGCCTTCTACTATACTTAGAACTGCATGTAAAATGTCAGCCATCTTCTTCATAATAGTAGAAAATTATCTTTTAATATGTTGATATTCCCTCTATTGTACTACAGCTACAATAGAATGACTGAAAAAAACAGTCACTGAAAATATACCCCGGGAGTATCAGTCATCATAACCCTAATCAATAATGATGCAGGGGAAATACATAGGTTTATTATGTTTCTTTTCTTCCAAATAGTAAATATTTCACAAATAAACTTCTCCCTTTTCCAGTGATTATGATTTTCAGAAGATAAATTTTGTGACAATACTTTGTAATATATATAAGACTTACAATTAATGCATTGAAAATTAGTACATTAGATGGCAAGAAAGCCAGTTGGCATTAGGGTAACTAGCTTTTGTTTGCTTGTTTATTTGTTGAGTAAAATGAGACTTTCTTTAATAGAATTTCCTCGATTTAAATCTCTGTTTTACATACTATGTGAAAAGAAGTTGTACAGAAAAATGGAGCACAGAGCCTATTTAAAATTCTGGCTGCTCTCCCCAGTATTGACATGGAAAGTCTGAAATTTCAATTGTATTGTAGTTATATTTTGGTGATAGGGACAAATAAAATTATCTTTAAGTATAAGTATATCGGAAATAAATCTCTCTCATTTTTCCAGTGGATTTTTGGCTTTCCCTGTCTATTCTCACCTCCTGATTCTACACAAGCCACCACCCTCGAGGCACAGAAAACAATGGGATAGCACATTTTCCATGCGGACATATTGGAAAGCCACACACGAACTGGTCTTCTTCAGCTCTCCTGTGTGACGCCACACGGTAAGCCAGGATGTGGCAGGGCTGACAAGGCTTCATTATGTCTCATTATAACAGGAGGCACAATCAGCTGGTGCAGTGAAAAAAATACAGGTTTATCAAGGGTAAAGAAAACAAGTTATTCAGGGGGAAATGATCCGTAACTGCTTGTTATTAAAGCCTTTAAGAATTACTAGCATAAGAAGAAAGAAGTTGCATAAGAAATTTAACTCTGTGATTTGTTCTCAGAACAAAAGTGAGTCAGGGCATAACTATCTTGGGAGCCAAAACACACAACTGGTGAAAGTGTTCTTCAGCAGGCCTCTTAAAGGTGTTTTTACTGAGTTGAATACCATTATTGATTCATTCTGTACTGGGGAAAAAGAGGAAAAGAAAAGAGAAAAGAGAAGAAAAGGAAAAGAAGAGAAAGAGAAGAGAAGAGAAAAGAAAAGAAAAGAAAAGAAAAGAAAAGAAAAGAAAAGAAAAGAAAAGAAAAGAAAAGAAAAGAAAAGAAAAGAAAAGAAAAGAAAAGAAAAGAAAAGAAAAGAAAAGAAAAGAAAAAAAAAAAGAAAAGGGGAAAAAAAGAAAAGAAAAGGGGAAAAAAAAGGAAGGTGGCAACTGTGTGAAAATTTCATTTTGTTTGAGAAGACAGAAGAAGGAATATAAATTGGAAAAGTTCCTTTGAGAGCTCCCCCCTCACAAGTCCAAAAAATGAATGCAAATCTGATGATATCATTGCTAATGAAAAACATAGGCATGAGAAAGTGCTCTCAGCTTTGCCGAACCACCCCCATTGCAGAGCTCATCATTACATTCTCTTCATGCATTTTCAGATTTTTCTGTACATTAGTTTCTGCCCACTGTTATCCAGCATCCATGCTTTACTGCAGAAGAGGCTGCAGTTCAGTTTTGGTGGAAAGATTCATAGTTTGCAGGGACGAGAGTGGAAAAGGTAACACAAAATGGCAAAAAGGGAAGATAAATTTTGCAGTGCCCTCTGATCTCCACGGTCTGCTGCCTACCAGCAGTGACCCCAAGCAGAGAGCAGATGAGCACACATGGATATATATTGCCAGTCTCTCTCTTCTCTCCTGCAGCCGGCTTTGCCTTGCCAGCTGTCTAACACCACAGGAAGGCATTTCTTATTCTTCAGCCTGCAGGAAGGAAGGGATGAGGGAAGGAAGAAGAGGCTACTGCCAGGATGTGAAGGCAGAGTTGTTCTGCCAGATGCTCCCCCAGCTTCCCCACAACGAATGTCTTGCTGTGCCCATCCCATCTCTGGGGAGACCTTTGGCCACAGACAAACATGGACAATTAGATGGGATACATCATCCTGTGTCTGATGGACAAATTGCCATGTTACTTGCTTATATCTTGTATACACAGCAACTGGTATATTAGCGCTGATCTTTCAAAACCCTGGACAGAGTGGGCCAAGACAGAGAAACTTGTATATATATGTGCACACATTTTTAAAGATGCGAAAGGTTGATGCCATCTTGCTCTGAGTGCCAGAATAATTTATTACGGTCACAGTGCTGAGGTTACATCATGTTTATATTCTAATATCCTGCTTTTAATGGCTAATAACATTCAGATTTTTTTTCTCTGTTCCAGACATGGTTTCTATCCAAATGTAATTTTATTTGGAAAGTTTGGAACAAGAATGATTCTTTCTTTCTTTCTTTCTTTCTTTCTTTCTTTCTTTCTTTCTTTCTTTCTTTCTTTCTTTCTTTCTTTCTTTCTTTCTTTCTTTCTTTCTTTCTTTCTTTCTTTCTTTCTTTCTTTCTTTCTTTCTTTTTTCTTTCTCTTTCTTTCTTTCTTTCTTTCTTTCTTTCTTTCTTTCTTTTTTCTTTCTTTCTTTTTTTCTTTCTTTCTTTCTTTCTTCTTTTTTTTTTTTTTTTCTTTTTTCTTTCTTTTTTTCTTTTTTTCTCTTTTTTTTCTTTCTTTTTTCTTTTTTCTTTTCTTTTCTTTCTTCTTCTTCTTTTTTCTTCTTTTTTTTTTTTTTCTTTTTTTTCTTCTTTCTTTCCTTCTTTTCCTTTCCCTTCCCTTCCTTCCCTTCCCTTCCCTTCCCTTCCCTTCCCTTCCCTTCCCTTCCCTTCCTTCCCTTCCCTTCCCTTCCTTCCCTTCCCTTCCTTCCCTTCCCTTCCCTTCCTTCCCTTCCGTCCCTTCCCTTCCCTTTCCCTCTCCTTTGAACTTGAGGAGAGTGGAAAAACAAAATTGCTTTTAAGTAAAAAAAAAAAAAATCAGCTCTATGCTTTGGTCATGGGCTGATGAAATAAAGGATCTGAGTCAGACTAAATAATCCACCTGCTTTCTGTGGGGTTATGCCTAGGGAGAGGCACCCGCAAGTCTTCCATTATAACAGCCTCCGACCTCTGAACTTCATTTGTGTACATTAAGTGAGTGCAGGACAAAAAGTATCTCTGTCAGAGAGAAAGAAAGGTGTATGGTAAGTATGAGAAAACATGGGAGATATGGGTGCAGAAGAAAAGCTTGGGACATTTCTCTGGAAAAAAAAGGGAGGCAGGACAGAAGAGTGAATTACTGGTATCTCCGATCAAAAAGACATTACTGTATTTTAGTTGTTTCTCCTCACCAATTATGGCAGTTTCATTGCCTCTGGGAAGGCCCTTGGCATAACTGCTTATTTTGTTCCTGCAAATGACTTTCTGTCAGCTTGTGGTGAGTGCTTCTTGTATACCTTGACTGAGCTCTTTGCAGAGCTCCTCCCCGGGCCACAGGGGTGTCATGTAGTCATGTATTTTTTTTTCAAGTTTCCAACATCACTTGCACTGACAAATCCATCAGTGAACAGAAATTAGCATTTTTTTTTAACTGCTACTTGGAATGTGAATGCATTATTTCATTTATTATTTATTTTATTTTATTTTATTTTAAAAATTTATTTTATTTTTTACAGCAAAGGGGGCAGATAAGAATCCATGATACTGCTCAATCTTAAGTAAGTATGGAAAAAACTGTGTGGGACATTTCATTATTTTTCTGCAAGTACTCTGTGGGTGCCATTTTCTGCTGATCTGCTTGTTCTTACATGATGTTACAGATGCTGCTCAGCAACGTGACTGTTTTCACCCCTGCACTATACAGTGCCTTCCTCCTGCTACTGACTCAAGTTTACTTATGGCTTTAATGACTTGGATTAAACTCTTTCTGAACATTTTCTCACTTGTATGCATGTGTTTCCCACCGTGTATGTGTGTTGTGTCATTGCTCAAATAACATAATTTGTTTCTAAAATGTTTCTCTTTTCTTGTTCAACTCCGTAAGACCAGACTCAGCTATGTGCTTTCTTTGCTTATTTATCTGACTAATCTCAACCTCTACCAATTTACTCTAGCCCATATGTTATACAAATCCTTCAGCTGGCCTTTAGAACATCATGTTTGGGGTGAGGACCATATGACTGGCTTTGCTTGTGCTTGCAACCACCACCAGCAGATATCCTCTCTAGTTTCCTAGCAAATTGCCTAGGCATTGTAATCAATTTGGAGTCTATGAAGAGTGACACTTTTGTGAAATGTGATATTAGAGGTTGTAAACTTATCTAATTGTTAAATCCTGCATTACATTACTGTCTTTGATGCAGGGAGAAGAAAGTTAAGTTCTTTCTGTCTTTGGAAATAGTTATTTCCAAAGACTTAATAAAATAGTTGATTTTTTTTTTTCAAGCCATTATTGCACAAGTTCAGGATATTAAATCACTTATAATTCATTTTTTAATTCAAAAATTCTGAAAGAAATTTAGTGATCAAGCAGCAGAAACTGGGACATATGGATAATTCAAATATTTCCATTTGAGTACATGGGAAAAAGGAACCAACATCATCCTAACAGTCTTTTTAGATTGTTTTTAACTGTGTATGTTCAGAGTACCTTTTGTCTCTTATGCACAGTCATACAACCATATATATGGCTTACTGTGAGAAGGAACTTGCCCTTTTGAAATCCTAAATGAAAGGTAAGGCAAGAGGTAGCTGCAGTGATCCCTACAGGGAAGCCATTGTACATCAAGGCATGATTGATCCACAACACAGTCTTCCTGACAGACCTGTCCTGTGCTGCACACACAGCATGGCCTTCAGGCCAGTGTTGTGCTACACAAATCTGGTGGCTGCAGGGCAAGCTCAGGTGGCTTCTTGTCAAGGAGGAGCTGCAGGCAGCTCCCATTCAGTGCCGGTGATTATTCCTCTTGCATGGCCTTGCCTTTATCTGACAGTGCTGCAAGAAGTTCTCATGAGAACATTGTTTCTGTTTGACAGTAAAAATGATGAATAGGGATGTTTTCTTGTAAGAAAAGCCTGTAATAGCTCAAATGACTACAGGTTGGAATCTGTCCTATGGATAGGTTCTGTCCTGTGTCACCATGGATGGACTAGAGTCTGTTTCGTGCTGCATCATCTGAGGCTCCTACCATCTAAAGGGTTGTAGGAATGTCTACTCTATACTTTCCTTATAGTGTTAGCTATAATAAGCATTTAGAGAGTCTGAGTGCCTTTCTTACTAGGATCATAACAGACTGACACTTCCTGGTGCAAAACAGTACAAAGAAGAATTGCTATACAGTTCTCTTGTATGCATCAAGAGAACTTTTGATACAAACATTTATTGATAGGCCCAAAATATGCCTCAGCTTTACCAGATCCTGCCATGCTGAATCTAGAAACAGAAAATTTAGGAGAGGTGACTGCTCTAGGAAACCAGAAGTGAACTGGCAAGTGGTTGAGTGGAGAAGGTTCAAAAACTACAGACTAAATTGGATCAGTTTTTATGTAGGGTTAAAAAGGGAAGTAGAAATGTAATGCTCCTTCAAAGATGCAAACTATTTTTGTCCAGTCTGAGAGTGACTCCTTTATGTGAGAAGCTCCACTTCAAGAAAGAGTTATTAATGAAATGTCTAACAGAGTGGCAGAGGTCCAGTTTTATTCTAATGTTACACACTAAATGAGCAAAAGTGAGGAAATGGTTATTACAAACATCACATCATTTGCAGACCCAGTGGCAAGGAAATAGGAAGTTTTTGATGCAGTGAGACACTTGCAATACATCTTGGATTCCTGTGAAGTGCTTCAGAGAGTTGTCCTCAACATCCACAGACACCGAGGGCTAGAAAATTGCAACACAATTAACTTCAAGATACAAAATAATTTTATTTTATATTTACTGCAAAGACTAGTGCTGCGAGGTAAACAATGCAATAAAATAATTGCTGCCCAATATTTACTGATCACCATAAATGACAGGGAAAGTGAGATTGGATGAATCCGTACCATATGCTCTCAGGAGTTTGAAAAACTGAAGAAATAGGTTAACAAAGATTAAGGTTTTTGAAGATGACAAATTTAGATTAAACCAATTATTTGATAAAAGAACTGGATATCTGGCTACAGAGCCTGTTGCCTGTGTTTGCTGACTACAAACAGGCGTACATGTAGAACAGTGCCCTTCTACACTCATTATGAGTCACAGCTTGGAGCTGCACCAGTGGAACACCAAACTGGACATTTGGTTTATGAAATCTAAGGCGTGCAGGAGAAAGTTGTGAAAAACAACTGTAATGTGTATTGTCACAGCAACAAGAATGGCCACCAATCTCTGTTGGAGGGTAGCTCTGCTGACAGAGGTATTACTCGTATGGTTCAGTGCAGCTCAGGAATGATTATCAGTGATCTGACTAACAGTTCATCATAGAAGAGGATCAGAATTGTTTATCAATGAGCTTACAGGCAGCAGTAGCAGAGCACCTTCATTGTTAGGCAGTGACTTGTGCTTCAACAGACTTTTTGGATTCAGTGTGTCTGAAGGTGTTAAGTATAGGATACCAGTTTTCACTTGGTTTACCTCTCCAGAAAGGAACATATGACAAAGGAGTGTGCAGCTTCACTACAGAAAATGTCTCTGTCTCTGAGTTCATTGGGACTGACTTGAAAGGGCTGCTCTTGGAAACACCAACTGGAGATCAGCCGGCGCTGACAGCATGTGACAACTTCTCCAAGTATGAGATACAGCAGCCACACATACTTAAAAAAACCCTGACACTTAGAGTTACATTACATAGTCTTTGTTGGCCTTCTGCCATCCTTTTTGTTTTTCTTCACTGGATTATTTTAGGACTCCAGGAACCTACGTTTCCTTCTTACCAGATCTCTGTAGCTTAGTGCTGTGGCAGAGTTAGTATTTCAGAAGGTGGGAGAGCAGGTAAAGTACAGTCAGGAGATCACTGACAAAAAGAATGTATCGATACTGAAAAGATAATAATGATGTGAACATTCAGGATATAGAATAGATGTGGCTAAACAGACAGAGAAAAGCAGAGGAAAAAACATCATAAAATACTCATTTTAATGTTCTTTTACATATCTAACGTGGTTGTTATGGATCCAGAAGTTTATTGGTACAGAAAAACACAGTCTGCTCTTTGCAGTGTATCAAAACCTAGTATGGAAATACCCTAGAAGTGAGAAGGGCCAATAAAAAGAAATCTCAGTGGCTGGAGGGACATGGAAGAAAATCTAGAAATATTTTGGTAAGTTCTACATATCCTAATATGTTTTGTTGCATTGATTGTAACAGCAATTTGCAGCAGAGAAGGAGTTGCCACCTGAACCTCAACTCACTGCAGTCTCTGCGTACCCAGAGGATAGGCTGGACTCTGCAAACCAGAGACCTGTGACCCTAATAATACAGATGCAAATTTGAATGGTGACTTTGAGGCTGAATTTAAGGCTTGAGCTTGTACACTGTTTAGGAATGCTATATAAATGGATGAGCATGTGTATTCCTAGGGGGTTAAAACAGTGATAAATGCTTACTAAATCTGGCTTGAAGAAAGTAGTTGCAAGGCTCAATACAGATAACACAAATAAGTAGTAATAGTTTTAAGTTCTGTGTGATTTTGTGTTGACATATCTTCTAAGTTATAATCTGCCTGAATGTGTTGGCAGCAGTATTTGTGTTATCACTTTAAATCAACTGATTCCCATTTATGAATTTACCTCCATTATACAGTGCCATCCTTCAAATGGTTACAAGACTGTATTGTATACAGTAACTGTGTATGTGGGTATGTATTTCTTCCCTTAAATTTACTTCAGTAACTAATTGATGCTCTTTTTGGAAAGCAGAATATAAGGTGTGTTGCATTCAGTTGTTCACTCCTAATTTTTGCATGAGGATACAGCTCTCAGAACTCCTATCAGCATATTTGATATTAAAATAACCTTTTCAGACAAAAGCTGCACTGGTACAGATTAAATTGCAGGGAATGGTGTGTCCCTTCCCATTTCTCTTTGTGAGCCATGTACATGTAAATATTTCCTCAGATAATTTTGATTTAAAAAAAAAATATTGCTGAGTTTCCTTGAGTGGAAATGTCCCACCAACAATCCCGGAGGATTCTCACTCAGCAGGCAGAACAGGCTTGTAGAGAAGCAGAAGTTGTTCTCTTCTTGTAACGTGGTTTCTGATGATGATGATTTTCTAGTCAGGATGTTGTTTCTTTTTCATTCCTTTTGTTGAATGTTTCACCGATAGACAAGAGTAATTCCTGGTAAATGGAAGAGTGCAGCACCTGGCTACAGCAGAGGCTTTGAAATGGTCAAAAAGTCTTCCTTCTTTTTCATAGAGGTAATATTAGCTGTCAGGACAAACACAAACCCTTGGGAATCAGCAGAGTTCAAGGAATCGTGGCCACCTTGTGCACAGAAACAGTGTACCAGGCCAAAGTCTCCTGAAGGCAATGGAGCCAACAACAGCTTGCCGGTCTGTAGAATGAGCTCCGGAGATGGATGCCAGAAACATCTAATTGCCTTCTGGAGATTACAAGGGCAGCAAAAGAGGCGTAGTGTCTTAGAAAACCACCTGAAGTCTTAAGCATAATTGGGTTCAGTTTGAGAATCTGGCTAGATTATTTTCTTGAATTATTTATTCTTCTATCACTTTGAGAAAAAACAAGAAGAGTGACTCAATCCCCTAGCATCTTACATCTGTCTTAGTCATTGTCAATCACAAAAAAAGTTACAGTCTGGTTCTCATGTTGAATTGAAACACTTCCTGAGAGAATGGGCATACTTGATGCAATGCTGAGTCACTCTCAGCTGCTCACCATTATTAGGTATTCAGCATTGCTAAATTGATACAATTAATTTTCCTGAAGTCCCATAAAAGCCTTTTTATCCTCCTGACACTATTATTTCTTTTCTTTTTATTACACTAGTCAGTGTGGTGCTAAAACAAAAACAAGCCAGCTTTTTCTCTTGCTTTTATATTTGAGACTCGGAGAGCATTTTTTTTTTAACTCTCATTTTTGTTGGTTTGTGAATCACTACATCTTTCAGAATATGAGTCTGTAGAACGTCATGCTCTTAGGTATAAAGTGAAAGAAAAAAACAACAACAAAAAACCACAGAATTACACTTCATCTGTCATCTTCTGAGAAAGTAACAGAAAAAAGTCACTGGAGAGGCTGACCTACATACCACACAGTGTCCCTTAAACAAAACAGAGTTGGAATACTTTCAGTGCATTACCAAGGCAGATATAACCATTGAAGATAGGACACATAGAAATAGCCCAGAAGGCTTTCTATTTAACATTTCATTCTTCAGTTCACTGGACCAATAACAAGTGTTCAAAATTTACTATCTACTCCCTGTTCCTTCATTTCCCCATTCCCTTCCCTTCCCTTCCCTTCCCTCCCCTCCCCTCCCCTCCCCTTCCCTTCCCCTTCCCTCCCCTACACTCCCCCTCCCCCACCCTCCCCCCACGCCCCTTCCTCCTCCCTCTTTGTCCTTTCCTTTCCTTTCCTGTCCTTTCCTTTCCTTTACTTTCCGTTCCTTTCCTTCTTGCCTTTCCTTTCCTTTCCTGGCCTTTCCTTTTCCTTTCTTTGCCTTTCCCTTTCCCTTTCCTTTCCTTTCCTTTCCTTTCCTTTCCTTTCCTTTCCTTTCCTCATTCACTTCTTATCATTTTTGGACATGGGTGGTTTCAAGTTATAAAAGGACAGCTTGAGAAAAGCTGGATCTGAAAACCTAACCCCAGGAGAAAAGCACAATCACCGTGTGTGTCTTTCTCCCCAGTCAGAAGAACTGGATGAAGTATGTGCCTTGATCCTAGCATTCAAGACACTGTGACTCTGTCTGATAACAGCAGAAAGCAGGTTTCAGAAAGGAACACTGTGGCTGGCTTCTTAGATCTGCTCTAGCTTGACTCAGCTGCCAGTCTGATTTGTTGGGAGAGAGTGATTTCAGGGGAGGTAGATCCCAAAATGTGGTTGCCCTCATTGGCGTCAGACAGTGAGCTCTGTATGTGATAATCACAATGTAGGGATTGCAGCTGTTAGAGGTCCACCTCTTCTTGAGGAAAAAGGTATTACATTTTGCACTTCCTGAACAACCTTTCTAGACTTCCTATTTGTAAAGTACAATACTAGATTTCAAGCTGAAGGGAAACAACATCTCTTCATCTCCCTCTGAAAAACAACTGTTTAACCACGGAAAATTATTGTGAAATCCTTACTGGGGTGGAAAATTTGCACTCTCTTCTAGTGCATTTCACATGAATGAAAAAAACATTCCTGTACTTCAGAAGCTGTTAACAGGAAAAAATAATAATAAAATAAATAAAATGAAGACATTTTCCAGAGTTTAAGTCACCTAACAGAGGACAGTGATAATCTTTCCAAAAGAGAAAGAACATTACCTCTGCTAATTACAAAAGCTTCTTTTCTCCAGAAACATCATCTTCTTTCCTCTGTCAGTTCATTCACTTTCTTTTCTGCACTTTCTGGAACCCTTTTGGCCTGAACCCTGCAAATTTCTAATTGCAGGCTAAAATAAAGAGTTGAGCTATGGCGGTATGACTGATGAGCAAGGAAACGCTTTTCTTTTTTCTTAAGGATGATGTAGAATTTGTTTTTAAGAGTTGTTTCCTGTTCAGAATCTTGAGTCAATGCAGGCAGTGAGCATCAGTGGTTCCAAGATATGGGGTAATGTGTTTTGGAAAATGGATTCCAGAGGAATGATGTTTTTCTCATCCACTGTATCTCATTCACCACCACTGTTTGTTCAGACCATCAGACCAACAAAGAATGAAATGACATCACAGCACCCATTTTTGTGACTAGGGTTTCCCCACACCTTTTTTTTTTTTTTTTTTTTTTTTTTTTACTGTCTAAGAAAATCTTCTGTGCAAAGATCTTATTTTCAAACATAGGCTAAATATTGTCACTTCTCTTGTTTGTGTGGACCTTTCCCCATGTCAGATCATAGCTTGCAGGGCCTTGATAACGTCTCTTGAATCTGTTTGGAAGATAAACAGGAGAGAAACCTGAATGTAAGTAATCTGACTTAGAAGACCTCCAGACTTAGCACTTTTACCAATATAAGAGTCTGGTCATTTATTACTGTGTTTCTATTTATTTTATTAGGAAAAAAAAAAAAAGTGTGTAGTTTAGAAAGACTTTTATAGCAAATTCTGGACTGCTGAAGCATTTTAACACTTTTAATGAGAGATTTGCCTTCAGCATATAAAATTAACTGTATTACACTTAAATTAATTAGGCCATTGAAACATTCTAAATTTTTTATACTTTAGATGTGGATTTGAAACTCAGTAAATGTGAAATTGTGGCTCACTTAGGTTATATCTATAAACTTTTAGACATAGTTTTTCTGCACAAAACATAAATCTGATCACTTAATTTTCTTGTTCTCAGCTCTCTGTGGGACTTTTGGTATTTTTCCCTTCTAAGGAAGGCTGCTGCTTTTGTAGCAGACTGCAATAAATTTGTGAAATGGATACACATACGGTAGAAAACAAAGGGAGAATTTCAGCAGTTATATTTGTGGCCTAAGTTTGCTTTAGGCAGGAGGGATTTATGCAAATGAAACCTTCTTACAGCACTATGATTTGTCTATATGAGGTAGTGGATGTCCATATAAATGCTATATTAAATAAATAAATAAATAAATAAATAAATATATAAAAAACCAACAAAATTCATTGCGATTCCAAGTTTCATGCAAGCAAGATCCTCAGCTGGTGTAACTGTGCACACTCTCATTTATGGCAAAATACCTTTAATACTCTTTGATTTCTTTTTCTGGTAATTAATTAAAACAATTGTAATTCAAACTTCCACTTTCCAGAGCCTCACTTTGTTATATTAAATAAAAATTGGAAGTTCAACTGTACCAGCATTATACAAACACTGTGATACCATTGTGTTGAAGGCAATTTTTTCCTTGTTCCTTTGCTGGAAGTTCTGCATGCATGGGATATTAACTTTCACAATTAGAGACACTCTGAGAAAACCTCAGCAAGTCTTCCTCTTTTTGCTAGTACTACTCTGGGGGATGATGCTGCTGGTATTTTGCAGCCACAATGTCACATTAACAAGAGAAAAAGAATCAGTTTCCACAACTAACTGATGGGCTATTGAAGGACTTTGTTCTATATCTGTGCCGACACCCTGTGGGTAACCAAAGTGACTTGCTTTATATTCGAAAGCTTAGAGAACTAACTTATATTCATGTTCTGTCCATTTATACAATGAAAAAAAAATCATTAGCAGAAACAGGAAATGCTAGACGGAGGCTTAATTTGCCCTCTGTGCAAATTACGTGCTGATTTTCAGGGCAGGCTTAGAAAACTTGTTTTATTCTTCTAAAAGAAGGCAATGGAGGGAAAAGCACCATTGATTATATTCTTCATCTATTGCGGAAAATCTGGATTCAGTTTCATGCTCTGTCACGACCCCAAAACCTTATGTGATCCTAGAATTTTTTTTTTTTTTCCTGAGAATTAAAGGGCATCCACACCATTTGCTTTTGCAAATGCATATATCTTTTCTAGATCTCATCTGTTCTAATGTAAATGCATAGTAGAGCTGTTTCTGATGTGTGTTACAGAAGCTTTTTAATGTAAGCTCTGTAGATAGGCAAAAGGAAATTACTTTGTGGACTGAGTCTTTCTAGCAATGAGACAAGAACACGGGGTCCTATATACTTTTATCATTTTGCCAGGTTTGCGTGAAGGACAGGCAGAATTGCAGGCTCTGAGCTAAAAGTGGAACAGGAATTGTTCTCCATCTATTACCTCAAAAGGGGCAGAGGAGAATGGAGAGCAGCAGGATGAGGCCTCAGCCCCAGATTTTATTGGCAGCCTGTATAAAGGGAAATGTACTGCACCATTTCAACCCAGGGCTTGTGCTCCCCCTGTACTAACAGAAATTGGAAGTTCTTCCTTGGCTGGCAAGGTGCCTGCTGCCCCATTAATGGTCCATGCCTACAAGATACAATCAGGTATCTTCAGGTTACCTTTGAAAAAGAACATCTTATCTAGATAGCGTGAGATTTTTTGCATGTATATGAACTGCATTTATATGCATTATATATAGCATACACATACCAGTATATGTTTATACCACTGTGGGCTGGAACTGCAAAAGAGTAGGATTTTCTTTCCAGTGTATCTGGACTTGTCATTTTACAGTGTCTGAAATCTCATTCTGACCATCATCTACATCATTCTCTTGCTGATTGGAGCAAATTTCTTAAACATGTTGGACCATCACATGTGTGGAGGTGCCAAGTTCTTGTCCTGACTATGGAGAGTGCTGCAGGCCCTGGAGCACTGCATATACCAGGACAAGACAACCTAGCTGTGGCATGCAAAGTACTGTAGGTATTTTATTCATTGAGGGGACTAATGCATTAGTTATTGGTCATTGAAGTAATTGTGAAGATTGTCTTTTTTTTTTTTTTTTTTTCCCCTCCAATTTATCACCCTGACTGCAGTGCAATCCTGTGATAACTTTGCCACACTGAGTGGTTGATAGCCAAGTTCATGTTGGAGCAACATGCCTGGAGACAGTAATGAGTAAAACATAGCCGGAGACCCATGTCATTCTCTCCACCTGTTTGCATGCATACTTATACCCATGATATACTGTTATATCCCCAGCTTATTTCAGGCTCATGCATCCTCCAGCTCTGCAATGCAGTGCTTTTAAAATTTATTTATTTATTTATTTATTTATTCATTTGCTTTTGCTAAACAGAATATAATGATCAGAATGAAAGCAACACATCAAATCAAATCTCACTCAAAAGTTAAATATTGTTCTCTTTTACCATGTTCAGATGTTTCAGTAAAACAATGCCTTTCTGACATTTTTGGAAATCATCATCTAAAGGCATCACTAGAATGACATATCATTTACTGTTGTGTCAGACCTGCAAGCTGTTGCATAAGTTAAATTCCTTTTTGGCCCTCAATGCTTAGATATGTGTTAGAGAGCTTTAACATGTCTGCATGAGAGAGGAAGACACTGTGATGCAGTTTCAGTTTGTTTGCCCACTGACACATTTTCAGAGACTAAACAACAAATGAAAAGACCATATAGTTCTGTGTCTGTTTCTCCTGCTCTATATGTATCACATGTATCAGCCTTTCTTTTCAGGCTCAATAAAATGCCATCTAACATGACATTCCTCAGCAATCAACACTCGTTCCTGACACATCTGCTTCTATTTGGCTTTAATCCTTCTTTGCTTCATCTGTATTTAGCAATATTTCAGAATTTTGTTGTCAGCTAGTCTCATACTCTAGCATGACTGCAATTTAAAATATTCCTGCAATTTAAAGTATTGCAAGCCTTGAGAACCAACTTCTGGGTTCACAGGATTTGTGGAGTTTGAACAAGTTTATGAACTTGTCCCTCTCTAGTACATGAAGACTTTTTTTTTTTTTTTTTCCCCTAACTTTCCTTATGTACAGTTTGTGTTTTGTATTATGACATGGTGATCCCTCCAGATGCTGTGCTGGCAAGGCAGATGTGCTCTGCTTTGCTCAGATACATCTCTAGAGTGTATATCTGGTTATCCTCTACTTCCCCTTCTCTTTTAAGCTTGTGCATTAAAGTCTATTGGGAACTTCAATACATACTTCCTCATACACTCAATGTGAAACACTAGCTATGAATATTTCTTAAGTTAAGGTCTAAAAGCATGAACTGTGGTCTTATTTTCTCCATAGCCTGCAGATGAATTCAGATGTCACAGAAAGAGCAAGACACATTAGCCCAGAATATGTACAATTTTTCTTAACCAGTTCTGTGGGATTTGCCTACTTCTTGTTTCTCATTCTCTTCCAGGGTTCAGCTGAATTTGATATGATTAAAGCATTAACATTCCAGACCCCACAAAAGATCCCCATGGAAGACTTAATGTTTAACAACAAAGTCCTTAAAAAGATATTTTTTATATCATTTATAGGGATAAATCAAATTTTCTGTATACATAATGAGGTTAAAGTACCGTAATCAGATCGAGCAGGTAGAAGACTTAAACCTGTAAGAGATATAGCTGAAATGTGGTGGACAGTTTCAAAATATCTTACATTTACATTATGTTGGCCACTGTATTGATAATTTTCTGCCTGTTTGTGCTATCATAATAAATCTAACCTCTATTCTGATTTGTGATAACAAGATGAGGAATAAGAGCCGATAGAAAGATAAAAATAACTGATATTCTCAGCTTTTTATCTATTTTTGCTTTTGGTTGTTACTAGTTTTGATTACTTTCCCATGAAGCATAAAGATTTTACTGTTTTATATTTTGTCTCTCTGAAAGTTAACTCACCCAATTCTGTAACTGGTCAAACATCCTTCTTTTAAAAGGTCCTGTTAAAAATTTCTGAGGCCTCATGTTCTCATGGAGCCTGCAGAACAGGAAGAGATGGTGTACCAGTGGCACAACCTTTCCCTCCTGCAGTGGGACCTTGATGTACTTAGATCATGTGTGACCAACCCCTTCTCTTTTTGCAAGGGAAATTCTGAAGTGATGTTGGGTCATCCTTGGAGTGGTGGGAAATATTCACTTACAAGTAATTTTCTCTGCTGAGTCAACAACACACAGTTCACAACAATGGGAAGTAATTAGGTCTTGAAATTAATGGATTTCCCTGTTACCTCAAAATGCAATCTTTTTTTTTTTTTTTTTTTTTTTTTCCTAGCCTTTGATAGAACTGCTTTATTATCAAGCTTTGGACTGCTCATTATACCTATTGTCTCAAATTGGGTGCTGGCAGATACTGATGAGTTTTATTAATGATGGAATAACTAATGAGAAAATGTAGACCTTGTAGTTTTTTAAATTAATCACATTTACCTTAGAATACTTCTGCCTTTTTTTTTTTTTTTGATAGAATATAATTCAGCTAAGACATTTTTCTGCTGATTTGATTTTTTATCAGATATTTTTTCTTCTGCTCTTGAAATCAATTACTTGGATAACATAATAGGCCCCCATTAATCTCTGTGGAGCACAGTACAATCTGTTTCACTTCAAGCCAAGGAGGCCCTATTGGTGTAAATCATGGAGTCAGTCATTTTGTTGCTATTTATAAAATTAGTCACCTGCAACATCATCCTGGATGAAGTCCATTGAATGAAACAGTGTTGGAACAGTCTATGTACAAGACTTAGTGTTTCACTGTCAAGCCTGCAAGGTGCACATACATGTATCTTAATATAAAAATGGGAAGTCCCTTTCCATTCATTTTGAACCTATTACAAAAACAAAACAAAAATTAATGAAAGCAACTTAAAAATGAAATATGTTTTTCATAAAATTTTCATTTTTATAGAGAGATAAAATTTTATCTCTCTAGACTCCTTCCAGTTATTGAAAATAGCAAAATTGCAATTAGAAACTTGGAAAATTAATATCAACATTTTGTGAGTCTAAAGGATTAAAAAGAAAGGAATCATATTTTCACTTTTGTAGTACAAAATCAATCTAGCATATCATCCAAGTTATACAAACCAAGAAAAAAATATCCTCAGAAACTTAATCTAGTATATGACTTCTGTTTGCTCAGAATAATCATAACTTACATTCCTATTTTCTGTAAGTAGTGTAGTTATGACTTTCTCCCACTTCATTTTTGGTAGGCAAGATGAAAGACAGAAAGATTTTGCTGTTTTCTTTTACTTGTGATGACTACTGCCTTAGTAGTTTTGTTTTTCTGGAAGAATATACACAATTCTATCATGACAAGATGTGCTGTAGCATTAATAGTAACAAAGAAAATTCAATTCTTATTCAAAGTAATATAAAATGAGAGTAATTCTTTTTCAGAGATGTTAAATTTACATTCATATCAGTGGAAAACAGAACTTGTTCAACACGCTTCCCATGTAATAGAAGTTCTTTTCCTCCTAGTAGCTACTTGACCTTATGAGGTAGAAGTTGCATTGTGCCACTAACAGGTGCCAATTTTGCTGGGCATGAGTCAGGTAAGCAGTACCATGCTAATGCTGTTAGCATAAAGGCCTGCCAGCTGCTTCAGTTCAAAGCAAAATGGCTTAAATGTAAAATATGTATGTATATTTTTATACATATATATATGTATATATATACACAATTTAGAAGTAGAATTATATAGAAACAGTTTACTATAACCTTGTGCAATAAAGAGCTGAAAACTGAACTGCTGATGCAGACATAGCTGGACTTGTTTTAATGAACTTGTTAAATGCATGGGCAATTCTCGGTGTTGGAATATGATTGTAAAGATTTGGATGTTTCCAGGTAATTCCTGGCAAACAAACAAAAACAACAACAACAACAACAACAACAACAACAAAACACCGACTAACCAACCAAAACAAAAACAAAAGCAAAACCACCTACAAACATTGATTCTCATTTGACTTAATATAACTACTCATTATGAGCAGGAAATTCCTTCTTTCAAGAAAAAAGGAGGTTCTGCTGGAAAATGTTACTTTATCATTTACTTCGATTAGTGAATTCCCCTAAAAATCCTGGAGCCAGTAAAGAAATGCCAACAGTCAACAAGTGTTCTTGGAAGTGTTAAATTTGATGATGAGCTGACACCACTTAGACTGGAACCCTGATTTATGCACTAATTTTGTTGTCCAACAGTAGGTGGTAACACTAGTTAGATCTGACTAATCGATGAAGTTATGGTTCATGCTTGAGTCACAAAAAAGATAAAGGGTTAAAAATTCAGGCCATCTAAAGTCAAAGTAGAACAAAGAAGCAACGAAGAAGAACAAACAAGTTTAATTAAATTTTATTTTTCTCGAAATATTTCAGACTGTGCAAAATCAAATACTGTGTCTGGTTTTCAGATTTTTGTATGTAGTATTGAAGTATTGTAGTATGTTGTAGTTGTAGTATTGTAGTATGTTGTAGTATGTTGTAGTATATTGTAGTATGTTGTAGTATTGTTGTATGTAGTATTGTTGTATGTAGTATTGAAGTATATTGAAGTATTCTGTGGCAACTCCCTAAACTATGAGACATTTAAAAATTAAAAATTCAGACCAATTAAACAATGTTCTCTTCAATAAACATACATCTATTTGTATACCAAAGCTGCAAACCTTTTTTGTTTATTTGCTTGTTTTTATCCATATTTATGGATATTCTCCAAAAAGTAGTTGTAGAATTATCATGGAGAGACTTTTTTTTTTTTTTTAAGCTCATATTTTCCAGATACTGGTTTATCTCCAGAAACATTTAAATCATCTCTTGCTTTGTGTTTTCTCTTTTAAATCTACTACTTTGAGCAGGACATTAAGCAGAACTCTGAGGTACTTTCCAACCTGACCAGTGACATGATTCCATTTGTATGACCAATGATTGTAAATACCTTTTTAAAGCTCCCTATTTCTGAAATATATTATTTTCTTCAATACTGTCGTTATAAGACAGAAATATTTCACTCATCCCAATAAACAGTCTTGACAACTCAAATCTTTTACCTAGATACAGAACCGACATACCATACGGAAATGCATTTATTGTGCTTGAATTCTGATAGGTGAAGCTACCACGAGCCTGTCCATTTTACTGGCATGTTCACTCAACTTTTGAGTTATCCAATAGATACTTCAATGTAGTTTGAAGATTCACTCGAGATAAAAATGGCAGCTTCAGTGAAGAGACACCAGCTTTTGCTGTGGGAGCCATCAGCTGTGTTCTGCAACATCTCCCTAAAGTAGTTAGTGAAACCCATCTTGCACTATTCATCTAAGTACAGCTGAGAGAGAGTGAAAAGAACATCTCATCTGTTTTGTACCACTGTTAGGAAGGAGGTGTCAATTTGTCTCCATTGCCCAGAAAGAGAGCCTGCATAGTTACTGTAGCCTGGGCAACTAAATCTTACATTGCCAAAGTTAAGCTGTGTGGGTCTCATCTTCAGTTACTATTGTGAACAAAAAAATTAGAAATTTTGAGTTTAAAGCTTTGATCGTTTTACCCTGCTGGGTAGCTAACCTCCACCACAGCTACTCCCTCACTCCCTGTCCTTGAAGAAAAAGGGGGAGAAAGTATGATGCAGTGGATTAAAGGTTGAGATAAAGACAGGGAGATCACTCAGTAATTATCATCATGGGCAAAACAGACTCAGCATAGGGAGATTAATATAATTTATTGCCTACTAGAACAGTGAGAAAATAAATGCAAACTAAAAACGCCTTCCCCTCCATCCACCCTCTTCTACCTCCTTCCCACTAGCGGCGCAGGAGAATTCAGAACTGAGGCTACAGTCAGTCCCTAATGTTTCATCTCCACCTCTCCTTCATGGTCACTCTCTGCCCCTGCTGCATGTGGGGTCCCTGCTGTTCTTTCTGATCTGATCCTGCGTGGGCTTCCCACAGGCAGCAGCTCTTCAAGAACTGCTCCAACATGGCTCTGTACCACGGGGTCCATCCATCAGGAGCAAATTGCTCCAGCACAGATCCCCCATGGTCAGCAGCTCCCCCCAGCCCCCTGCTCCTGCATGGGCTCCTCTACATGGGCTGCAGCTCCGGCCCAGGTCCTCTCCTCTCCTCTCTCCTCTCCTCTCCTCTCCTCTCCTCTCCTCTCCTCTCCTCTCCTCTCCTCTCCTCTCCTCTCCTCTCCTCTCCTCTCCTCTCCTCTCTCTCCTCTCTCCTCTCCTCTCCTCTCCTCTCCTCTCCTCTCCTCTCCTCTCCTCTCCTCTCCTCTCCTCTCCTCTCCTCTCCTCTCCTCTCCTCTCCTCTCCTCCTCTCCTCTCCTCTCCTCTCCTCTCCTCTCCTCTCCTCTCCTCTCCTCTCCTCTCCTCTCCTCTCCTCTCCTCTCCTCTCCTCTCCTCTCCTCTCCTCTCCTCTCCTCTCCTCTCCTCTCCTCTCCTCTCCTCTCCTCTCCTCTCCTCTCCTCTCCTCTCCTCTCCTCTCCTCTCCTCTCCTCTCCTCCTCATTTTCATTTTCATTTTCATTTTCATTTTCATTTTCATTTTCATTTTCATTTTCATTTTCAAGACCCTAAAGTGTATCTATTGCTGCTTCTACTGAGAAGGGGAAAGTTAGTATGTATTCATAACAAGAGTCAAAAAAGTAAGGGATAGGGAAATATAGATCTATCTGTTTAACTTCAGTTCTCATAATAAATCTGGAATAACTTGCAGCACCTGGAAAACTAAATGGAGATGTAAAGCATCCAACATGCATAATTGTCAAGAACAAATCTGAGCAAATGAAGATGATTCCTCCAATGACCAGATAACAGGTCTTGTGGATAGATGAGAAGCAGAATTTGTATAACTTTATTCAAGTAAATCTTTTGACAGACTCAGTTGATATTCTAATACTAAAGCAAGGAAAAATATGGCCATTATTCTGTGGACACAAAACTGATTAGATAACCACACCATACAGTAGTTAATAAAGTCTAATTACACTCAGGGTTCTGTGGGGGATCTGCTTTAGATCTGCTTCTGGTCAAGGTTTTCATTAGCAAAACAGATGGTGGAATAGTCAGAATAATCATTAGTTTTGCAAATGACACAGTGCAAGGAAGGACCCCAAATTTGTTGGAGGATAACAGTAAAAATAAAATTATGGAGAAATTGACTGGAAATATAGGATGTAACTCATCCTAGACAAAGGACTAGGGCAAGGTTAGAAGATGAGGGCAGGATATTAAAGGAAAAAAATAATGATGCAAATCCTGGATAGGAAACATTAGGAAGAGGTTATCCAAAAAGATTTTAAGATTATAGTGGATCACAAATTGTTTCTGAATTAGCAACATTACATTCTTGTGACAAGTCACCTGCTAATGGTATACAAACAGAAATATGACCCAAAAGATGCACACTATGATCAGAGGTTGTAGAAAATTTGAGCTAGGAGGTAAGATATAAAGAATTGATGTTATCAGGACTAAAATGAAAAAGACAGGGAAGGATGCTAGTGGGAAGAAGGGTTGATAATGTTAAACTTTCCTGTTGTTTTAAAAGGGAAAAATACTGTTCTCTGTATCCACCATGAATGAGGACAAGACATTTCAATTGACACTAGAACGATTAAAGTTATTAAAAATATTTTCTTTTCCTAAAGCTAATTGATCAGGGAACACATAGATTAGGAAGACTGGACACTGTCTATATCAGTCTTTAATGAAAGTCACTCATACATCTTTTAGAAATGACATCGGTATTGCTAAAACTCTTTAGAGCAATGGGATGGATCAAACTGATCTGCATTCCTAATTCTGCTGGGGGTCCACAGCACAGTATGTAAAAATAGGTTGATTTTTTTTTTCTTAGGTGCGTTACTGTAAATCTGTATGTTACTTATCCAGCAAGTCAGTATTGGACGTTGGTGCACCTTTTTGGCAAGGCTGGACAGTTATTTTTCTGTTTTAATTTATTTGTCTTCAGCAATTCTGCCTTTGCTTGCCTATTGTGTCAAAAGTGAAGTTGTACATTATATTTGAGCTCGGCAGCAGCAGCTGTCCATCGCTCCTAGTTCTTGACTTCTTACTTAGAATTAATTTTGCACAAGTATAGCTGTTAGCAGTGGTGTGTAGTGCTGTGTATAATCTATTATATTTTAATTTTATTCTAATCATGCAGCATCCAGATATGTCCAAAGAACAGGAATAATTAAAAAAGCAATGTAATCTTATGAACACCAGTGTTTATTACTATGTGTAATGGCAAAGATATAAGCTAAATTTTTTTAAGAATTGATAGAATTTGTAAGAATGTTGTCTCCATTGGACTGGAATGAGCATTTGTGACTTTGATGACTTTAGAGTTATGTTTGTGACTTATAGATAAATCTGCATAACCAGCATAATAATCCCGCTTTATGCTGCAGCTATGGAATACCTCTTCCTGAAACAGTCTTGATCCATGGGGTCCAGAACTAATGAAACCAGGGACTTGTGTCTTGTGGTTGGTTGCCTTTTTAACCTAATTAGCCTACAACTGCAGTGGAATTTCAGGCTGTTTAGCCTGGAAGATGACCCTGACAAAAAAAAGCAGGTTCTCAAGATCCCCATAGGGCACATTTTCCAGCTGAGGCTTTCCTGAAGCTGGGATGTGCAGAAAGTTTTCCCTCATTTGGGTCCTCCCATGTCTATCACAGGGCAAATGTTGCAGTTTTTCCTTTAGTGCTGTGTTATCAAAACTCCACTCAATCAGTTCTTTTGTTTATTTCTGTCTTGAAACTTACAGGACAGGGCATGCAAGTCAAATATATATTTGGCTGTTGGAACTAGATGGTTTTTAAGGTCCCTTTCAGTCCAAGACATACTGCGATTCTGTTTCAGAAAGCATTATGGACTTCTTTATACTATTATCAGATTGCAAACTTCCCAGTATTACAATAGCCTTAATTTCCCCAAAAACGTTTATACCATTCTCACAAATGGCACTGTGCATCTCACTTCTCTTCCTGTACTGATTAACCTCAGTTCTTTCTCTTTTCCTCTATTTTCAATCATAATAGCACTCGTTCCTTCCTGTATTCCCTACCTATGTTTGTTTAGCCTGGAGGCTGGCCAAGAGATGATCACTGCTTGCCTAGTCCAGACTCACGTGCTTGTGAAATGGTCAGCCTAGTGCTTCTCATGCCTAGGTAAATGCACACTACTTTGATAAGGATCTATGACACACAGAGTGGCCCACCAGCCGTGAGCACCGACTGTTATCGTAGCCACATCTGTGGATATAATTTTAAAAGCTTGTCAGGAGCTGAGAAGATTTGGGTGAAGCTGGAAGAAAGATACCCTCGTCCCTCAGACTGAACAAAGAACCTAATAAAAATCCTTCCTATTCCTCACACATATCTGTATTTGCCATGTCTCTACGGCTGCACATCTTAATAA